AAAGAAAATACTTTCGCAAAATTATCTAATGGATATGAATTTAACACGAAAAGTTAGTTTTTTTTTGTTTTTGTTTAATTAATTTTTATTGATGAAAATGTGGATACGAGCAGTTACTCTCATTTTTTTTTTTTTACATTAACTGTAAGAAATGCCTGTTGTCGAAACATCGGAATCCCAAGCAATCTGACTTCCTTCCCTCCCCTTCCTTTTAATACCGACAATATCAAGACCACTTGGGCTATAATTTTCTTAAATTTGCTTTCTCTCAATTTTCCCGCATATTTTCCCAAAATTTAGTTATTTTGGGAATTGGTCATGTAGCTAGCAGAGTAATTTTCAGTATATTTTGCGCTTTATTCAGTCTAACACATCCCTCTTTTCGCTTGTTTTTCCCGCTTTACGAAAATTCTGTTTTGCCCTTGCAGATGATAAGGCATGCAGGAGTGCGCGATGGTGATTGTGTTGTTGAAGTTGGCCCAGGCCCAGGTTCGATTACGCGAGCAATTTTGGAAACAAACTGCCGTCGGTTGGATGTCATCGAAATTGACCATCGCTTCATTCCGCCACTCGAAGTAATCTTTCTTTGAAAATTTGTTGTGGAAATCAATGTTATTTATTTTGTTTTTAATTTTGACATGTTACCATTTCGGCTGTTTTCGGAATATCCGCTTCTTTTTGAGAAGTTGGATTTTAAAAAAGTTTTGACTTCATTATATTGAGTGACCTGGGCACTGCGTTTGAAAATATATGAAAAGAAGCATGTTAGTATAATTAAGCACCGGCATGAAATAGAATATAAAAACAGCATTTTTCTTAAAAAAAAAAAAAAGAAAAACAAGGAATGCTGACAAGTGAACGAGTGTCTGGGTTACCAGCATTACCTGTTTGGCCTTCAGGTGAAGCAGTTTGGGTCTCAGTAACCGTGGACGGATACTGGTTAGTTTAATAATGCAAAGATAAGGGGTCTCTGTTCTCAAAACACTAGTTTTTAAAGATTTTAGCATTCTCCGAGGATAATTAGTATAGAAAAAAAAAAGTTATAAAGAGATTTTCGTTCGTCTTGGTTGTAAGCAGATTGCAGCATCCGGGTTAACCCTAGAAGCGCGGATGGCGAAAATGCGATGCAATTCAGGAAGAAAGAATAGTGTAGGAGAGAAGGGAAGAGTAAATTGGTACTGAAATATGCCAGGGAGTAAAACCCGCCATCAGTTTGTTTGTAAGCAACTGTCGAAAGAGGGAGTCATCCACAACCTTGCAACGAGGTGATTGCTATTAGTACATGCTCTCATAGAGCGTAAATACTGGGAGGATTTTGATTTCTAATTATTTCGTAAAAAAAGTAATTTTTTTTTTTTGACTGATTTTTTTTTTCGTTTTTTTTTTTAGGTGTTGAAGGAGGTAAGCGAAAATCGTATGTTCATACACCATGCCGATATCCTTAAAACCGACGTTGGTCGTATTTGGTCTGAAGCCGGTCTTGAGCGTGTTCCATGGGATAATGAGATTCCAAAAATGCACGTTATCGGCAATCTTCCGTTCAACATTGCCTCGCCATTAATCATAAAGTTTGTCTTTTCGGATTTTTTTTTTGCCAGTGGTTTGGTGTTTTGAATAGAAAGTTATGATAAGAAGGAATGAAATAAGGGGAAAAGGAAGGCAAGGGAAGAAAATTAAAAAATTTGTGAGATTATTATAATGGTAAGAAGTGTTTCGGTCCATGAAGGGATTGTTTTCATCAAGCTCTTGGCATGGATTTTTTAAAACGTCATTTCCTTTCAACTCAGCTGATATGTTGTGGGAACATCCTACTAACATCCCTAACAAGTAGTTCCTGTACCAATTTTGTGCAATTTTTTGATATTTTGGCAGGTATTCGTTGTTCTTGAAGTTTCTGTGGTGCTTGGATATAGAGGTCTGTGCAGCTTTTGAGGTGATTGCATGGCTTGTTTGCTGTGTTTTGAAATTTTGGACTTTGTTAGCTAGTTTCTGCGATATTTCCTCATATTTTAGTTGAAAATTAACTACTGGAATGCGAAAACTTAGTTCCTTTGTGCTATTTTTTCCCTGTTCAGATTCCTGCGCGAAATGCTATACCGTCGAGGACCATGGTCATTTGGTCGTGTACCATTATTGTTAACATTTCAAATGGAAGTGGCCGAGCGACTCTGTGGTCCCATTGATTCACCATTTCGAGCCAGAATTTCAATTATGTCATCGTTTCTTACCGAACCTCAACTAATTTTCAAAATACCAGGCATGAAGTTTGTTTTTTTTGGAGGAAGCGTTTTTGTAGGGATGCGAATTTTTTGTAGAGCCATATTTGATCGTTCTTCTGTTTCTGGAAACTGCATTTGTTTGGATGGTTTTCGTTCATGGACAACTGCATTATGATGATATTTCAGGACGATGCTTTGTTCCTCGACCTAAAATTGATGTTGGTATTGTTCGATTTATCCCACGCAGAGATCCTCTGATTAAAACTTCATTTGAGGTAAAATTTTATCGGAAGCATTTATTATTAAATGAGTCATATAATCCTCGAAATTAATTTCCCCGCTGTCATTAGATTTGTTTTCCGATGATCCCCATTTTTAGTATGTGTTTACAGCTAAGGGATGAAACACATAACCTATTCATCACAGTACCGTTGATCCAAAATCTGGGTCTTATTACGTGTTTTTTTTTTTTTTTTTTGAAAATCC